ATTTCTTCCTTGACTTTTGTAAAGCAAAAACGTCAATAATGTCATAGAAATCTAAATTCCATGTTAAATCATCCTAAATGTTGAGAAGTGCTAAAGAGTTAAGCCGTTCTTTTCCTATACATGATAATAAATATATTTAAAATCCTATAAGACCGACTACTTTAAAGTAAAAAACGATCTTTCTGTAGAACAATTTAATGCTCAGTGGTATGCATATCAGCACTGTCAGAACAATATCAATGTAAGGATGTATTATACAGTAAAACAATTTTTTTTTTTTAAACACCGCAGTATACATATAACACTTTTTGAAGTTACTTGATTATATTTTTGAAAGCTCTGTTAAAGTAACCTGAAGTTGATGCGTTTATTTAGAAATTATATTCTTAACCCATCTTGATATCTTTTTTGAAATACTACTTTGACATTCTTGTACGCCTCTACATTAATCTTTGTTGTCAAACAAAATAAAATTTAATACTTTTTGAAAACTTTTTAAATGATTTTTTTTTTTCAAACTCAGATTTCATATTATAAGTAGTCACTTCATTTAAATTAAATTAAATAAGGATAATTTCTCTTAATTTATGTAGACAGTGATAATTTTCTCATCTGTACCACGATCGCCACTATTACCATCCATAAAATTTGTCACTTGGTACATTTTTCCCTTTGCATCACCCTAAATGTGCCAATTATCTAATAATATAACAATCAGTATGTAATAATACTCATTAATAGATCTAAAACGTGTCTAGCACACAGTAACATGATCCACAACTTATCTCAACCATTCCACGCAATGTTTTATCATATAATATGAAGTTATTCATGAAAAAATCAATATTGATACTTATTTTTTACTAACAAGTATACAATCAAATAAAATATTAAAGAAAATACTATTTCAAAATATTAATTGGTAGGTAGAAAAATAAACAATAACGTATTTGCAATTACTTATAATTGTAGGTAAGTTAATAACTTTTTACACATTCTTTACTCGTTATAACTAAAATTTATTTTTTTTTAAATATATATAATTTAATTTCAGCAGTCACTTTATTCCGTTTGTGCTTTTTATTACATTGTTCAATTCTAAATTTTAACATAATCAACGCTAGTATCACACTTTTGTTTTGAAAATTTTCACAGTTTATTTTTTGAATCTATTACATTTTAATTTACACAAAATCGCAATATTTACGTTTGATTCACAACGTTAGTTGTAAATTAATTTGATATTAAAAAAAATCTCCATGTTATGAGAGAAAATTTTTAAACAAACACTTCATAACCCTTTCAGTCCCATAAATAAGTATTATACAAACTAAGAAACAAAACGAAAATTTCTATAAAAAGTCTTATTTAATACAAAATTAATTATTTTGTAAAATAAAATCGAATTGTTTTTGATTAACCAAAACGGTATTGGTTATACAGTCAATAATTTGGCCATAAGAAAAGTTTTGTTAATTGAAACTACCTTGTTTAAAAGAAAGAGTTATTAAATATAATATTTTATAACTATGCAGGTATCTAACTCCTAACATAAAAAATCCACCAAGAAATTAAGTCTATAAAATATATACATTTTTATATCATTGATATAACATGAAAATATCTTACCAAAGGTAACTCCATAATAATGACAAATAACTTCTTTCATGTTAAAAATTAAATAATGTGAAAATATATCAAGACGTTAAAAAATTACATAATTTTATTTAATTATAAAATTTTAATTAACAAGTAGATAAAAAAAAATAATGTATTGTTTTGTCAAAATATATTTAAAACACATTATTTGTTATTTGAAATTTTAAATTCATCTACTGCTGTGATAATTTACAATCCACTATAATAATAATATTACATTTGTAAAAAATAATTAAATTTTAAAATATTATTTTTTTAATATACGCACTTTTCTACAATGAAAATTGAATTTTCCCGTAAAAATTCATTGGACAGAAATCAAGAAAATCATCGACAAAAATAATAACTCATGAATCAATTTTATGTGTGCGTATAACGACTGTCGGTGGTGACAGGATGTCGATAAAAAATTTTCATAATACAAAAACAATATCGAATCTGATTCAATACCTCTCACAAATACATATTATATATATTATATCATATATGCATATAAGTCGATTCGTATTGCTAGTGATACCTTATTTATATTTTGATCTTTTTATTTTTCGTTTTGCCATCTTTCCCAGCTAACAAAAGAGATTGAAAACTGTTCGTCCAATTGCCTGAAATAGTATCTTTATGGGAGTTGTACGCCAGAAACATTTGTTACCAAGCCACTACAAGTACTTGAAGCGATTCTCGAACAATTTACATAATATTTCTCACGAATTTGCATAGTCAGATTATTTCACGGTATAAAATCAAAAACAGAAACGACTCGTTTTCACAAGTTAATTGAAAGGAAAAAGAAATAAAAATAATATTTTTTCTCTGAGAAACTACCCTTAGTATGATATATTTCAACGCGATTCACATAAGATTATCCCTTTTCTATATGCTTAGGAACACTACTATATGAGATACTTTAGTTTTTCTAATATATATTAAAATATTAAAATGTAAATTTTATTTATTTACTATATTTAATGTATAAATTTATTTATTTTATAATACCTATTATAAAATAAAATAAAATAATAATAAATTCATAAATCTTTAGTTGCATACTGTCAAGACACATGAAAATTCAAAATGACACATTAAATGTAAAAGATATACATTATAAATTTGTTCATAATACGCATAAAGCCATATAGGTAGATAACCTATTTACACAAATCACAAACTAGGTGAAATATATTACTAAAAGTTATTTCCATACTATACAAATGCAGTTAACTAAAATGTGTATACTTAAAAACATAATATGGAGTTTGTCCTCTTCTACTCTTGTGTGCAAGTTAAAAATAAATTTCTAAGAATTCTAAATTGACACGGAGTGTCACTAAGATAGTAAGTAAAACTGAAATTTGTTTATTTTAAAAGGAGATTAAACACATTTTAACTAAATAATGAATGGTATTAATTTGATTATTTACTATAACAATTAATATTAAATAATCGATTAACGTAATTTAGACATTTAAATGTTCAACTCTATGTATTATAATTAATGTTTCATTTGAGTTATTATAAATCTGCTTTATAATTAAACTAAGTTTTGCTTATCTAATACCATTATGTGGAACTAATTGAACTCAAACATAATTATGTGTGTAATAAAAACAAATTATACAGACTAAATATATATATATATATATATATATTACATTGACAAAAAAATGTAAGTTTTAAATTTAAATAAGCTTCATAAATTAATAAAACTAAATATGACGCCCTACCAATATAACACCTATACGAAATGGGAAAAACCTAAAAATAAGCAATTTAAACAATATAGGCTAGAATTATTTATTTTTAAAAAAAAATCTATAAAAAATAAATGGTGCATGGATAAATTTACGATATCTCTAGTAGGTATTTACAATCAACTAAAATTTATTTTTCATATATTTTAAATCCACATCATTAATTTTTGATTAACATGTATAGATATTCAATGTGAAATAAAAACCAATAAAATTAAAATAAAACGAGTAAAATATTATAGTCCAATAAATAATGAAAATTGATAAACTCTTAAACTATGACTCAATAAAAAGGCAGGCATACAGCTTATAAACTTTGTGGCTGAAGCTAATAAGATATAATAAAATAGCCTATGATAAAGTACACTGATATTTTGATTATTTATCGTTGAAATAATTCGTCCATGCACAAGTGTCACGACACACATATTAAATCTAGTCTTAACGTTCTTCATCAAATACAATAATATCTTGATATATTGTATTTACATTATAATACGATGTATTTCATTGTTGATTTCAACAAATGGCTAACTACTAAGAAAATAATTAGACTATGTAGTAAACTGTTTTGTCAGGTTATATTGTAAATGCTATTTAAACAATTATCATTTTACCAAAACTAACTTTTTAACTGGCAAGTAGGTACTAACTTAGTTATTCTATTACACATTTGGTAACTAATCAACAAATAATTTTTATTCAACTAAAACTTTTAACAATAAAACGTCATACCATATGTAACTTTAATGGAGGATTTACTTACTACTAAACAAATGTTACTCCTCTAGCCCTCAAATAAATAGCAATAACATTGTTATAATAAATATATAATAGTATTTGTGTACCTTTGAAGACAAATTAAAATGAAAACATGAAATATACATCTTATTGTTTTTAAATAAGTCTACTGCTATAAAAAAAATAATTCATTGTGATGGTTTGAAAAAGTATAAATTACTTTTATGTAAAATATTTTATATTTATGCAACTAAACAGACTAGGTAGTAATGTAAACATATAGTTGTTGTCTGTTGACCAAAAGAAATATCTTTTATATGGAATTTTTTTCTCAGAATATGGTTAAATATTTGAACCTGAATGTGTCTTATTTCAAACCAAATCATGAAAAGCAAAACGCAAAGTTTAACCCATTATTTTAGGATCTGTAGAATCAGATGGTACGAAATTACAAAACTTTTATCGTTGAATGCTACACAAAGCCGGACGGAAGCCATTAAATTATTCTAATACGAGAGAAGAAACAATAATGTAGACTGTAATAGTTACTGTCAACCAAAATGATTTAAATGGGAAATAGGTAGGTGCATACATTTCAATTGAAAACAACAACCCAGTTATTTCCAGAGCTAGACATGTTTTGCTTATTTTATCAGAAACACTGTGTGTGTGTCTGTTATTCTTTCCCATTAATCTCTTCAGTTTTGATTTTAAACGTCAAATCGCCTTGCACGTGAGTTCCATTCTATACATTCAGTTATGTTTATTTTTGATGGTACATTAACAATAATTATAAATTGTACACTATACGATGTATATTATTATATAATTGTATGTCATTGTTTTCAGGCTACGGAAACATCACACCAAAAACCGCTGTAGGTAAAATGGTTACAATGGTCTACGCGTTGATTGGCATCCCATTGATGTTAGTGTACTTATCAAGCATTGGCGGTCTGTTGGCGTGGTGTGCCCGAGGAATATTTACCAGGTAATTAATACAACTATTTATTCAATTTATGTTGATGGAGTTCTACTTAATTGCAAATGCTAATTTAAACCATTTAAATACACTTTGATAAATCGGAGAATCCTTTAAAAAATCATTTTCATATTATTAAAAACTATTAATAAAACGTTATTACAAATCTAAAAAAATACAGACAATTTTTGTGATGAATAAATATTAGCATAAAAAATTTATTTCACTCTTTAAAACATTTTATGTACTATATAAAATTTACTAAATCATAGTACTTAATGAGTTTGTTAATACTCCGTGATTATATCGTTAAAAATATTTTTTCTTTAAAAAAATATATCAAACTTGATTGTACAGGTTAAACATCACTCGTCTTTGACGCTTGAATAAATAATTATATTTAGACTTAATCAAAAATTGATAAATCACATCTATCAATCATTATTAAAGAAATAAAAGCGATCAACACAAAAAGAAAATTTCACATTTTTCCAATTTGCAATACTTCTGATAATAAATAGTTTAATATATAAGTTACTTAAAAACGTAATTCTTTTTCAGTTGTCACTTTTTCCATCATCTCATATTATATAACGACAAATGGTTTTAATTTTTACCCTGCCCAATTTTTTAAAGCTTTTGATATGTATAATTCTCACGAATCATTTTCGCATTTTTTCACTTCAATTTAAATAACTTACTATGTTATACGAATACAAATGAAAATTGAATATTTTTGAAGAGTATATTTTATAAAAATTATTTGATTTGAACGCACAAAAATACGTTTTGTAACTTCGCATTAGTTTATGACGATGCAGCACTAATTTTCATAAAATTTATTGTGTATACTATTTATTTACTATGGAAGAAAAGTTCGGATTTGAAAAAACTTGTATTTTAAATATATCATAAATTTTCACTCAAATATCTATATATTATGTAGTACCGGGTAAACTTAAGAATAAATGGACACCCGTAAAGTAGTTCAAGTTTTCTTATATTTATATATAAACAATGATAAATTGTAGGTAGGTACAAATGCATAATACATATAACTTATACATTAATATGTATTTAACTTACAAAATACAGACGAATTTATCTTGATGTCACAATTGTTTATAAACAACAATACAAATGCACGTAATATTTTCCTATAATATTATATAGTGAATACGTAAAAATAACGGTGTTCGTCAATTGCACCGGATTTGGGACATTACCTGTATAGTATACATCTATTGCGCCGAAGAATTTGACAATGACACAAACTGTCTTAATTGGTTTTAATTTTTATAATAATTATATTATATTAATTTATATTATTATTAATATTATATTAATTATATTATTTTTATAATAATTTGTACTACAATAAACAAAAATATATACATTACACACAATTTATGCAATTTATAATCTAAAAGTCAATAACTGTAAAAGTTTTAAAATATTTGATATACAAGTGATTTATCAGGAAACATCAACTTTATCAGATTGTGAGGCAATTAAAAATATGTCGAACAGATGGTCAAATATCATATTTTATTTTGCCATGTCTAATAATTTGTCATGTCGGTTCAATATTTACTTTTCTAAAAAAATAAATTAAAAATAGAAAATGTAGATATAATTGAAGATTTTTATTTAATTACTTTATAAAAATTTTTTGTTGTGGTAGCTTATGCGTTTTACAAATTCACAACATATCTAAATGTCCATTTAAATATTTGGATATATTTTCGTCAGCTATAGTTTTTTGTTTTTTATACTTATGATTTTTAATTTTATTTTCTTTCTCGAAGCTATTTATTTTTATGTATGATTGAAGTTGAATTATTTTTAAAACTTTTGAAATCAATAGAAATTGTATTATACACGTTTATATAATAATATATTTAAGAATCGATTAGCGCAATTGATGTACACAATTTATAACATTGAAATACTGATCGGCACAATTGATGTTTACCTTTTTCCCATTCCATAATTTTTTTTTATTACCTGTGATTTTCGGCGCAATTGATATATACCCAAAAATAAAATGTATAAGAACTAAAATAATCCTACAACACTTCGACGATGGGAAAAATAACAATTTTCGTAGACTGTTAAACGATAAGAAAGAACTTGACTATAAAAATTATAAGAAAGATATAATAATGCTTGTAGAAAAATAAATTTGTGTTCGTGTTTCATAAAAACATTTCACGAGTCAATTAAGAGTATAGCTATTAAAATATAGCTACTTTTTGCTTTATTCATATGTACCCATCTCGTGATTGCTTAAGAGCACGCCAAATCCGCATTTACGTAAACGAGTTGTGAGTATTTAAAAAAAAAATCGAGTTATCTGAAACTAACCGACACATGAACACGGATAATGTTCTTATTATCGTGATTTATAATCGGTCGATTCGTTCTAATTTTTAAACTAATGAAAATAAACGTGAACTGGTGAATGTGAATTTGTCTACACTACGCATCTTCTGCAGTTTTTTATGAAAGTTCGTGTTACAATCTATTTTTTATTTTGATTTATATATTAAGATTTGACGATGTCCAATTAAACACGGTCAATTTATTTTAACTACCTTATTGAACATAGAAATAATATTCCCATTTCATTGAACGTTATACATTTTTTGATAGTCCGTATACAACAAGACTCTCCAACTCTCCGGCGGCCATATTACGAGTTATTAACGTATAACTCGTATCATAAGTTATTTTTCAATTTCTTTTATTTATGAGAGTTTGAGATAAAGCATTCAATCGAGTAACCACATCGTGCACTTTTTATAAAGTTTTGGTGAACATTTTCATACATTTTTACAGTTTGGATTATTCGTATACATAATAGGAGATAAATGATAATGGATTCACATTTAAGGAATCATACACAGAGTGACAGATTTTTAATGATTATACATTCAAAGTTTTTATAGATTCAAAGTGATAAAACTGGTTTATCAAATAAAAAAATACTTTATGAAATTTAGCATCTGCAGGTACTTTCCATTTTTGGGCATCGGCTTTTTAAAGTCTGTGATTCGTGTATGTATTAATTTGTTATTTTTGTCAATCGCATATCTCTCAATGCAAATATCTGTTTAATTCAAAAATAATAATTAACAAATAAATATGTGTGTGTGTGTATCGATAGCCAATTAGCCATACGTACTTAAAGCAATTAAACGATACGATTATATTATATTGTTGAATAATAATACGACCGTTTTTTATTCGGGCCTATTGCAGGTCATTGTGCTGTTGCCTGTGCTCCAAGTGCGGGTACTGCTGTTACGACGAGAAGCTGATGGAAGAAAAAGAGCGGCGGATGAAACTGAAACGCGAGCGGAAGGAGTACGACATGCAAATGAAAACGTTCTCCGGCCACGCGCTCGAACCGTACTACGTGCGGCCGGGCGACGCGGACGACGTGTTCCTGAGGGTGTCCGACCGGGCGGCGTCCGCGGCCGCGTCTGATTCGGCGTCGGCGGCCGCCGCGGAACTGGCTGCGGACAGCGCCAGTTTCGTGCCACTGTTATTGGTCGGCTTCGCGTTCATGTCCGCGTACATCGGATGCGGCGCGGCCGTCCTGTACCGGTTGGACGCCGGCGGCAAATCGTACCTGGACTGCGTGTTCTTCTGCTTCATGTTGCTCAGCACCATCGGTTACGGCAACTCGCGGTCAATGGACGTGACGCTCACCAGCACGGCCACCGTTTGGTTCTGTTCCGTGTACATACTGTCCGGCATGGCGCTGACGGCCATGTGCTTCAACATCGTACACCACGGCGTGTCACCAAACTCAAGACGCTCTACCGGCCGGCGACCGCGCAGACCGAGTGACGGAGGCGGCGGCGTCGGCGGTGGCGGTGGAGGTGGCATTAGTCCCAGTTCGACAACGCGAAGACTCCGCGGGAAGGCGGCTGCGGGCAGCATACTGATCTGACGTCGTCGTCGCGTGGCGCGCCTCCAGCACCGCCGCCGCGGCCGCGAAGTCCTGACACGCGAAACGCGGCCGTCGCAGCACGTCCGACGACGGCCGCGACGTCGACGGCGACGACGACCGCCGTCGTGATTGCTGTGCCGTGGCCACCGCGTGTGGCGCGCCCGCGGCCGTGATGGCCAACTACATAGGCCAAAACGGGTACCCGCAACCCGAGATCGTGGCCATCGCCACCGGTGGGAAACCCAGCGTCGCGGTAGCCCCGGCCGCGTTGGCCGTTGACCGTTTCGACGTCAAGTTCGGTAACGTCCTGCACGATTCGCCACCATCGTCCATGTCTGTAGTCGACCTGACCAACTTGGACACGATCGCGGAGGCCAATGATTCCGTCGAGATGTGAAAACGCGGATTCCGCTGACGTTTTTCAAAGAGAAAAATACAAACGTTCTCCTCTTTGACGCGAAATATTACCTATTATTATTATTATTATTATTATTATTATTATTATTATTATTATTATTATTATTATTAGGTATGATTGTATAATGTTATACGCGTATGACAATTAATTAACGATGTTTTCAAATTTTTTCTTCGGCTGTCCCAGAGAAAATATAGATAATGACCTCCTACTAGCCACTATGCGACGAAGTGAATGAAAAAAAAAATTATTTACGTTAATTATTGATTTATATTATATGACAAGGCTATAGCATTATACTAATTGTATATTTGTACAATTCTTAATACGCAGGTTTTTTTTAAAAAATTACAATCTAAATGAGTCCAACACCATATAAGGTGGTAAGATTTTTTGGAGGGATGTAGCCTTCCTAGGGATAGACATGTACCGACTCGTGGAGAGCTTCGTCAGCATTTTTAATTGGCTATGGGGGGGCTAAGCCCCCCCCCCCCCCCCAAACACCCCTCTCCCTAATTACACCTATGCCAAACACATTTAGTGTTAAATCATGTAAACATTTCCTGTTCTTCCAATATCATTAGATATATCATATAATATTAGAAGTCATTTTTAATATTCAATTATTATCAATTACAGGTCTATCTAAATATTTATGTACATGTATTACAATTATTTATATAGAGAGACATACATAGTTAATACATTTTTCTTTACAGTCTAGAACAAACCAATTATTTTTTATAATGTTCCTACACAGACAATTGCGAATGTCACTAATAATATTGTAACACTGCTTTCCCACCGTGTAAGATATAGCTAACTTCTATATTTTTATTACGCTCAATAATTTTATTTTAATTTATTTTAGTATATTCCAAACAATCCTAACAGATAGTATTTTTTTCAATATCGAAAACAATATTTATTTAGACGGACATACAAAACAACTCTTAATAAATTAAACTTTCCATTCTAAAAAGTATTTGTTACCTATAATTTTAATTCAATTAGGTTATTAAATAATGAACTCGAAACATTTAGTAATCATTTCTCCATGTTTAATTGCATACTCATTAAATTCCAACAAAAAACTAAAATTTATAAATTAAATCAATTTTAATATTTTGAATGTTATATTGTTAAAACTATATTGCATTCTCTTATTTGTAAAATACATTACCTATATTATTACCTACTCATATGTGTGTATAAGTTTATTAAATAATTGTGTATAAATTCAGAACATATTATAATATAAATAATTACCCCATCGAAACATTTTCTAAAATTAATTCTAAACATTACAAATATAAATTTTATTTGTACCTTCTAGTTAAATTAATTTTTATTTCTTTAAAAAAAAAAATCGAATTATTACCAAGGTACATCAAGTTTTGCTCACGTATAGTTATTTTGATCTTTTGAACATTTAATTTTATTAGACATAATAAAATTATTAAAACAATTTTACAGTAAATTGATATTTTTTAGTCTGCTCCTAGTTACCGTTAAATAGGATTAAATAGGGTTAGAAGGGGTTACTTGAGACAGTTTTAAAACACTAAAGAAATTTAGAGAAAAATAGCTGTTGATTAAGTTTATTAATCTATAAAAACTACGTATCTTACCTAGGTACCTAACCAACCTTAATTAATCCTATAAGAATATTTTAATATTTTAATATCATGAAGAATATGTAAAATTATATATGTACCATTAGTCCTTCCCACACGTTTTATTTTTGTATCTGTCACCAGCTGCCTTGAATTTAACATCACCTAAGATAACACAAAATGCATGAAATTTTTATTTAAAATTTAATTTTTGTACTTTTAGTTCTATCGTAATATCGTGAATTAAAATGTATGATTTTTATAGTATAATATTATTATGTAACACGAAAAAAAACGTACTTACCAACTCGGAATGAATAAATATTTTTTATCTATAATTATATTGAGAAAATATTTTAATGCAATTGAGTTACGAATAAGAATGATATACCTAAGTAATAAAACACAAAAAAAACATGTTTCGGACACAAATTTACCAGTTTGGCGGCATACTGTTATAGTCTTACATTTGTATCATTCATTTACTTTTCAAATAATTATCATTTAATCCACTGAGTATGTTATCACTAAATTTATATTAATATTGTTTTAATGTCGATTTTTTTTTATGTATGTACATGTATTTATTGTATATTATTGTATTTAGTACTAAATAGTAATGTATGGTAAAATATTGATTTTAACAGTTTTATAAAGTATGATCATTATTTTTGAAGACAAGTAATACTAAATTTCTTGACCAAATTCCATTGCATTAAATCGGATCTTTTTTTTTTACAAGTTAGAGGCTACCTAAATACACATTTATAAATATCAATCTTATAGTAAGGTCTATTGGCTGTTTTTAAAAATTATTTTATCTTAATAAAATATGGCTCTAAGTCATAATTGACTGAATAAGAAAAATTTTAAATTGAATCATATATATTTTTACGATTTATTTAAATGCTTAAATCCATTTACGGTTCTCACACTTTTTAATATGTTGTACTAAATATTATCTCACTTAAATACAATATTGAATAATTTATTAAAATATTATAATTTTAACAATTATAAAATAATAATAATAATTCAAACTAGATATTTTATAAACTGTTTATTTTTAACATTTATTATGAAAACAAAAAACTTATTCCATGATTAAATTATGATTACCTCTTATTCGATAATTTTTTTTATTTAGATAATATGTATTTAGGTATTCCTACAATATTAAAAAAGTCTCAATTTAATCCAACGTAATTCAACAGAGAAAATTAATATTGTCTGAAAAATGAACATACTATATATTGTAATAAACCATGTCATATCTAACATACCTAATTATATCAATCAATTATAATTATTGTTTATAAAATGTAAATAAAATTGTATTGTAAAATTGATTAAAATCTTTGTATTGTTCAAACCCAAAAATTTTGCCACAGCCAATTCAACACAAAGAATTAATCCCCCCCTCCCTGAAATATCACTAATACCAATAATGTATTTGTTAATAATATACTCGAATACTGAGATTATGACTTTTCTTCAAACCTCACATCCCGACATTTTGCATGCGTTCATCACTAACTAACACACTTTCAGTTTTGAAACATAAATTTTGATTTGTACCTATCTCAATTCAAAACAAGTATATTTTATCACCTTCACGCTGAAATTTACTGATTTTATTTCTGTTTGTACATAAATACGCAACTTTAAATTAATACGCAAGGAGTTCGCACGGGGTATGCAGCCATACTCCGAGAGCAGACGCTTTTTTTTCTAAAGGGCATAATATGAACAAAGTCCCGCAAGACAACACTTTTAGGAAAGAAAAAAATAACGATATACATACTTTGTAGGTACAATCTACATTCACGGCATAATATTATGTGACAAGAATTATGATATTATTATAAGCTTTTCAATAAACATGTTTTAATAAAAATGTGTTTTTAATTTTCAACAAAGAAAACATAATTTTGAAAAACCTATTATTTTCTAAGTAATAAAAAACAGTGATAATAAAAATGGTTATAATAAATATTTTATTGCCCCAGAGTATGCAAGGGTAACATGCCCCATATACACTCTTATGACTGTACCTATGTTGGAAAACAAAACGAATTTCCTTTTGAGAACAAAACAAACCTTATTAAGAATTTTCAATGAAAACAGTCATAATATACAAAGATAATTCAATTGTACTAATTACATATTAATAGGAAATTTCCATAACAGAGATTCAAAACACGTTCAAATACAAATATTATATTCCTTACAAAATGAATAAATGATGCCACAAATAAGATAAGTAAGAAAGGATACATACGTATAAATTACTTATAGTTACGTTATTTAGATATCATACACTTTAATATAACACATAGTATAATTTAGTACATTACTCTCACATGTTAGTATATTATGTATTCGATATTTTATAAATAATCTATAAACAATTAAATATTTAAAAACCAAAAATTATCATAAGTTACAATGCTAAAAAATAGAATATTAACGCTAAAGAAGTTTTATCTTTATCAAACTGAAGAAAAAAAATAAAAATACTCGAATTATTATACAGGTAAATTTTACAAAAAGTAGATATTGCTCTGCTATACAGTAAATAACGATTGGGTCACTAGAAAATGGTTATGTTAAATTTAAATTCAATAATATATCATTCAATCATTGTATCTATATGAAAAACGATTCTGAACAGAAATGGTCGTCTGACTATATCAATATATTGTAGATTCTGAATGAAGCAATGAATATATTAATTTTATAATGATCTATTTATTTTTTATCTATTTATATTTATTTTTTTTGTTTGTCATCATATTTTTAAGCTGTAAAAAGAAACTTATTAATCATAACAGGGCCAAATAATTGTATCAATTACATGTTTATTTTAGATTAATAGATTATTTTAACATTTAATATTTCATTCAATTTTTAAAAAATCTTCAATGTGGTTTGAATATTTTTTCATTATCTATAAACTATAAGTA